TGATTTCAAGAAGTTCCACAGGACACTTTTAAAGGAGTCATATTATACCCTATTTCAACAAGTTAAACTAGTTCCCTGGTGTCCTGATGTCATGTCTGTGACAAGCTTTGGTCAGAATCCCATAAGGATGAAGCCCAATAGCAGTTCAGTCCCCCTGCCAAAACAGCCCCGTTCAGAGCGCTCGCTTTGGAATGCCTGTCTCTTTAAATGCAAATGAGAATTTCCCACTCAGATGTTTCTCCATTTAAACAGATCCCACACAGTATCCTCTCCTTTTTCAGGTCACATGGGACTGAAACCTCCTGATTTATCTCCTGTACTGAGACAGAGGCAGCCCACAAAAACATGACCGAGTCATTTTTTTTCACACTTTGCCTGCTGATAGGCCCTACACAGTCCCAAATGTACAGTGGGGGAAATAAATATTTGAGCCCTTGCTGATTTTGCAGGTTTGCCCACTTACAAAGAATTCCTATTTTTCCTCATCAGATGGTTATCAATTTTTATAAATTCATATGATGTGATTTTCTGGAATGTTCTTTGGGATTCTGTCTTTCACTGTTAGAATGCACATATGATTAAAGTTATAGATCGCTGCATTCTTTGTAAGTGGGCAAACCTGCAAAATCAGCAAGGGGTCAAATACTTATTTCCCCCACTGTACATAATCAAATAATAAAAAATTTAGTTTTGCATAATACGTCCCCTTCAAATCCATGTATTTGAACAGGTTCTCACACCTGTGTCATTGTGGGTTTATTATGGGTTAAGTCCTAAAAATGCTGACTATGGCTGAATTTGAAACCCTCCCACAGACAACAAACAACGTATAAACAGGAACAACACAACCGGCCTTCTTAGGGAAAGACATGAGACTTTTAAGACCCCATCAGGCCACCTGGTTGGAGCTCCTAAAGGTTGGGGGCGTGGCCTCTGTTACCTGTCCGGCCCTCTGGCGGGAGAAGGCGTCCACCAGCTTCTCCACGCCGTAGTGGGTGAGCACGGTGGAGTTGAAGAGGAACTGGGAGTAGGGCAGCTCGTCCCCGGCGATGTGGAAGCTGTCGGGCATGAGCGGGTGCCAGTGGTAGAGCTGGCTGAACTCCAGCGCGATGCGGTTCCCGTACTGGAAGGGCGAGTCGAAGAGCAGCGTGGGGTCGAACTTCAGCCGCAGCAGGTAGCCGCTCAGGTGCTGCACGTACTCCTCGATCACGATGCGGATCGTCTCCCCTGAAGGGCCACAGCAGAGGAGATGTTTTCTCTTTTGGTTCTTTGTTAAGGATACCTGGTTGTTAATTCCTTTAGGGAGAGTCATCTCGCATGTTTGTGGTTTTAGCACCAGTAGGAAATGCGACAATTTCCTTGATCAATTCAATTAAATTCAATTAAATGTATTTATATAACGCCACGTCACAACAACAGTTGTCTCACAGCGCTTTCCAAACAGAGCAGATCAGACCCTACTCTGAAGTTAATTACAGAAATCCAACAATTCCCACCGTGAGCAAGCACTAGGCGACACAGGCAAGGAAAAACTTCCTTTAAACAGGCAGAAACCTCGAGCAGAACCATGGCTCAGGGTGGGCGGCATCTGCTTCGGCCGGTTGGGGGTTAGAGAGAGAGAGGGCGAGAGAGAGAGAGAGAGAAGGACAGAGGGAGCAGAGAGAGGCAGCCTACAGTAACAGTAATCCCATCAAGGATGAATCTCCCATTCCTGTTTTCTCCCATTCCTGTTTATCATTGAAATTGTATGACTTTCCCTATGTGCCATCCTCACTCATCTCCTGAGAACATTCTCCTTTTAGTCCGTCCACATGGAGGCCCCTTCCAGACCCCTGAGAATAAGCATAACTTTTTTACTTTTGGAGATTCTCCATGGGACTTTCTTGAGGACTGAGGAGTAAATCCTAATCTCTTTGTTTGTTGCTGATAAGAAACACAGTGGCCTTTTCCTTTCCTTTATCCATGCTAAGTTATACAAGGGGACGCTTACTCTGTGACCTGCGTCTTAGAAAGCTGTTGCCTTCTAATAAAATACCTTTATTGGACAAGATCGATCTTCTCTAATT